CTTGTGATTTCCACTTAAAAGACTATTATAATAATCCGAGAGATGATAAATGCGTGGATCGGTGCCATCTAGACAGGATGGGCTTGGTTTTGCACTGCCGCCTCAAGTGGAAGGAGGCTGGGGTCCATCTTCACACCTAAATTGGTGATGCTGGATTTTTCATGTGGAGCCAAAGAGAAAAAGTCAAAGGCAGGGAAACAGCTGGAGCCACTGGATTTAAGAACTGTGACCTCAGTCTTTTCTTTCATTAAAATTAAGAAAATTCACCCCCTGATGTCTTTGAGACATTTAAGGAGAGGCTGAACAGAACCACTGTGTTTTAAAAGGAAATAGACTTGACAGCCATCAGCATATAAGCTGGTAGCAAATAGAAAGAGAACAGTAGAGGACCAAGAATGGAACCCCAAGGTACCCCCCAGGGGAGGGCAGTGGAAGTACAGGTAAAATCATCCATTATGACACACAAAGTCCTTTCAGAGAGGTCGGACCTAAACCACTGCAGAGCTGAACCAGTGATGCCCACCCACTGCTACAGTCTGCTTTTACAGTCTGTCGGCTTGCAAAAGCAGGTACGGTCTTTCAGCGGCTCCGGACGATCTGGTCAATCCCAAAGATCGAGCTGGCGACGAAGATTCGTCTGCTCAACTCCATCGTTATACCTACCGCGATCTGTACTTGTGAGACGTGGAAAACATCAACCAGAAGACTCAATGTGGCCCAACAGCGATGGCTAAGAGGGAACCTGGGGGTCTCTTACCGGGACCATGTCACCAATGAAGAAGTACACCGTCGGACTGCCACACATCCCCTCCAGGACATTGTGACTGAGCGACATGTGCGCTTTGCAGGTCACGTTCTATGCCAACCCCCACACCAACTGCCCAAGATTGCCATCATGTGGAACCCACCCCAACCAAGATGGAAACCAGGCTGTCCCTGTACAACATGCTGGAGGACTTTCATCGATGATTTACGCACCACAGACATTGCATGGGATGAGGGCGAAGCAGCTGCAGCTGATCGAGTACGTTGGCGGACATTTGACGCCCAATGCGCCGAATGGCGCAGGAAGACCTAACTAACTAATTAGAATAATAACCATTATGACATGACATCATCACACAGTTACTACAGATTTGTTGGCTGCACATCCATGATGTGACTCGCCACATCCCAAAGATGCCCAATTGGTTTGAGATGTGATGACTATGGAGGCAAACTCATTGTCATGTTCAAGAAACCAGTGTGAGATGAAATGAGCTGGACATGGTGTATCATCCTGCTGGAAGCATTAATACTCAGATAGGCTGTGGTGTTTAAATGATGCTGAGTCTGTTCCAAGGTGTCTGAAGTGTGTCAATCATTTTTGTTTTTGCACCAAATTCTGACCCTATCATCTGAATGTCAGAACAGAACTTAACACTCATCAGTGGAGGGAACAGTTTTCCAGTCTTCTGTTGTCCAATTTTGGTGAGCTTGTGCAAACTCTTCCTCAGTTTCCTCAGTTTCACCCAGAGAACTGCCACATACTGGATACTTTCTATTTTTCAGACCATTGTCTGTAAACCCGAGGGACTGGTTGTGTGAGAAAATCTCAGTAGATTACCAGTTTCTGAAATATCCACTTAATTTCACTTAGTTTGAACTCCAGCGGGTAGCCTTGAGCATGTCAGCAAACTTAAATGCATGTAGTTGCTGCCATGTGATTGGCTGATTTCATAGTTGTGTTAACAAGCAGTTGAACAGGTGTAACTAACAAACTGGTTTCTGGAAAATTAATCTTGGTTATTATCTATACATTGTTTTGTATGCATGAACATTTTTTTTTAAATTTAAAAATGTTATTATTCACACTTTGAGTTTAAAAAAAAAAAAAGAATAAAGAAGAAATAAAAAGAACCAAGCAAAGCCCTTTTTTTTTTAAATAAAAGAAAAAACTCAGCTGTTTTTCATTTATTTGAAGCAACGTTGAGAAAAACGCACCACAAATAATTCTGCCACACTGACATGATTTGTGAGAAAAGCTGTGTTTAATTTGCAACCCATAAAACTCTCAGTACGTTATGCAGATGTTACAGACAGTCCGATTCAAGAACTTGCGTGTGTTGTGTCACATTCAAACCTACCAAACCTATTATTCCGCCCTTTCGTGGTAATCTGAAGCATACAGTTTTAATCTGGTACTTAAATTACATAATTACACATCAGGTACAAAATGTAGACTTTTAAAAAAGTTAATAAAATAGAATCTAGCCATTGTTCCCAAATAATGTATCAGACACATCCTTCATGTATGATCACTTAATTTGGTAAATAGTGATTTTAAACAGTTACGTAAAATGACAGAACATAAAACAGCGAGGACAGATACAGTGTGTGCAACTAACAGGGACTCTGAAAAGCATCAGTGACAAATTTAAAACACTGAAAACAGTTTATTGTAAATCAAAAGCTTATCGTCGAGTTTGAATAGAGAAAAAAAAAAAGTTATTTCTGGTTTGCTCATCCTTCCGCCCCATCGGAGAAAGCTATCACGGTGCAGCTCCAGAAATGGTGATTACTCTGAATTAAACAGACACTAAATATTCAGGAAGAGCTCCTGCTTCTGGCGGCTACTTTATACAATTTTCAGGGAATGCTTTGAAGCATGATTGCCATTAACACTCTGCCTATCTTCAAGTCTTCGATGAAAGAACAACCTACGATTTTTTTAAATCAGCAAAATTTCAATCCAACTCGAGTGAAAAAGACATACAGTACACACTCACTCTCCCACACACTGGAGCAGCAGATGTGGAGATAAAAAAAAAAAAAAAACAGCCCTCTCCTTTATTGCTGTGCAAGCCGCTGAGGTGGTAAAAACATGTTTTCTGTGCTTTCTTAAAATTTCCTCATGATGTTTTATTTCCCTCCACAGAGCAAACCAACCACTGGAAAATGCACATTTGAAAAGAATGGGGTTTCACAGCTCCAACACCCCCCAAGACCAAACCTTTAGTCATGAAAGTCCCCTTACATACTCTTCACCAGCCGAAGTACAGATGAGAACAAAATTATTATCACCTGTATGAAATTTCTAATTTTCCCTATTGCTTTTGTAACAGAGCAATCTTGATAATCCCAAAGCAAGGATATACAAAGTGGTCACAGCATTTCCAGGTGTCAACAACTGGAGTGAGAAGTATCATCAAGAAATTAAAAGAGAGTCACAGAGTACAGCACGAGCCTGGCAGAGGTAGGAAGCCAAAGATCTCAAAGACTCTGGAAAGAAAATTTGCCAACAACTGCCAAGACACCATTGAATGACATGTCAAGTAGGGAATTGTAGTCTCCAAGAAGACTATCACTCGAACCATGTACAGGAGTGGATTGGGAGGTTGCAGAGCAAGAAAAACTTTTGCAGAAGAGACAGATGAAAGTATGTTACTAACAACTTGGAGAAATAATAAGCGTACTGGAAGCGTGTCCTTTGGTCAGCTGAGATGAAACTAGAGCTCTTCGGCCACAGAGACTCTGCTTACATTGTAGGCCTACAACCAAAGAACACCGACCCCACAGTGAAACACGGTGGTGGGATTATTAGGCTGTGGGGATGCTCCAGTGCATCTTGAACTGAGGATCTCATCAATGTGGAAGGAACTTTATCTTGCAACACAGGAATGACCCAAAACACACATCGCTCCTGGGGAAGAACTCGACTGAGAAGACCAAAGTGAATATTATTGACTGGCCTACAAAAAACCCTAAATTGGATCCTACCTAAAATCTGTGGGATGAACTGAAGACCAAGTTCCATGCCAGAAGGCCATCGAATCTGTAGGAGCTTGAGAGATTCACCAAAGAAGAACAGGCAGGTGGTTATCCAGCAAAAGGGATTCACATTTGACTTTTTACATCGACTGGGCTAATAATTTTGGCACTGATAAGTAAAATAACGTAAGCATCCAAAATAAAACTAGGATGTTTGGAGAAGCTTTGTTAAAAATTGCCTGCTCTGTGTATCAGTACTTTGGAAAAAGGGGAGGCTAATAACTCTGTCCTCATCTGTATCTGTTGGTTTTGCCCAATTTGTACAATGCAATTGTTCCAAATGAGCTCAGATATGGAAAAGTGTACAAAAAAGAAAGTGCAACAAAATATAATATTTAACTGATAATACAGCCGGTTAACAGTGCTGGGTTAGTATAGTTTTTGCAGCGCTTTAGAACAATCTTACACATCATCGCCCATTAACTGTAAACTGTTCTTTAGTCAATCAGTACATGCCACACTCCACAATGGACTAAAACTATGCAAATTCACCATATCAACCTCCACTTTCAAAAAAGTTGATCATAAACTCAAACATGTAGTGTACTAACAGCAGACAAGAGTGTAAAAACAACACAAAAAGTGCAGGAAACAAATCACATTACAGCAGTATTTTCCCTTAGTAATTCATCTCTGCATAGATTTCATTTAAGACACACACAGGTGAGAACTTAGAACAGTACTATGAAGGGGAGAGAGAAGATGTACTTTGATTCGGCGATGCCTCCAGCTGTGGGCTTCTCCCAGTGCGTGGGTGTGGAGGAATCAGTAGGGAGCTCGGGTGTTCAGCAGTCATTCAAGGCTCTCACAGAGGCACTTGTAATGGGATATAAAAGGAAACAATTAGTATTTGATCACCTGTCAAACAGGAAATCAGCATTAGCATTGGTAACGAAGAAAAAGCTGGCTTCAATTGAGATTTTGACATGTGTGGCTGCATTTGCTGGAATTTAATAGCTTACACCTAATCCGTCAATTGGAATTCATTCCACAGTTTCAATTAGTGCATTACAGCAGCAGGAATGTTTGGCCAATCCGCTTCCACTGTCACCACTTCTTTGTTCACCAAAGGCAGTTTCTCATTTTAAAACCAAGCAAGTACCATGCCGCTGACATTAGCTCTAATTTGTGCTTTTTGTTTTTTTAGACCAGACAAACTGAAAGGATTTTATTTACAATTCCACATAACATAATAATTAATTTCAGAGTGCAATGTGACCTTTAAAACAGGCCTCAGGGAAAGCTCCGTGCCTACCCAGTGAGGTGGTACTGTATCGCGTCCGCTGCAGAGTGGCGTAACCCGGCTTGTCCGTCAGCAGGACGCGGTGAGCTGCAGGGATCGTGACTTCTCCGTTCCTCTGCAGGGAGGCGCACCTGCGAAATGTCAAATCTAGTTTCGTCTGGATGTTGCTGGAGCTGTGAGCGCGTTTGATGTCGACAGGGTCATGACTTCCAGCCTTTCCGTTGACCAGTTGGACTTTGCAGTTATGGCCATCGCAGTTGGGCCCACCAGCGCCTTTCCTCTCTTCTAGTGCCGCAGCAGTCAGAGTCCCGTTGGAGAGGGACAGCTTGGCTAAATTGCTACTTGCCAGCCTTCCCAGATCTTCATGGTCTTTCAGGCGCTTCTCTTGCCCCTTGACTGGTGACCTTGGAATGTCTTTCTTCAAGAAACCGGGCTTAAAAAAAGAGAAGAGACTTTCTTGGCTCCGACCTTCATGTCCTCTTTGCACCCTCCTGTCCTCAGGCTGAAGGACCATCTGTAACAAGTCTTTTTGTGCCCTGGGAGTCGCCCCTATGTGGACCTTAGATCTTCTCAGTGTAGAATCTCTGCTCGGGGGTGCGCTGTGGCTGAACTGACCGCCTAGAATGGCCCCTCTCTGTAGCTGGAACTCCAGGGTCCTGCCCTGGTCTGGCCTCGCTCTCTTAGATGATCTCCTTCTCAGAGAATCATCATCTCGAGCTTTGACATCTTTGCTGCCATTATCGCCTCCATGGCCGATGTTTCTCTCTGCAAAAGTTCTGCTCTGTCCCTCTGGTATTTTGGGGGAGTAACAACTTTCAGAGCTGACTCTGTCTGTACAGCTGAGGCTGCTGCCGCTCGGTGAACTGCAGTCCTGTCCTGCTTCAAAGACTCTTCCATGGGCGTTTCTTTGTGGTGGGGTAGCCACCAGCGTGATGATGGGGTCTTTGGTACATCTTGGACGCCGACCGGACTCGAGATACTCCACCAGCTCTCCAGATTGAGTCTGGGCAGAGTGCTTGATACGGTCTCTGGAACCAAAGGACCACCTCAGTGGGAGAACTTTGTTCAGGGTGTCCTTGGGCTTAGTTGGCGATCTCATGCTTACACTCCTGCCCTGGTACCCTCTGACAAACTGATTGTTTTCTGACCCATCTATAGGAGACAAGACACGAGACAAAGGTTAAAAAAAGAAATTGACATGACCTGGATAGATTATTGTTATACCAGAATGCAAAAAATGCTTCCAAGGAGGAGGCGAGTTTAGGATGATATATTTGTAAAAATCTGCATGAATCTGCAAATTTTGCATGATTCACAAAGTCAAAATAGTCCTTATTTAAAGTTGGGGAAAAACTTATTTGTAGGTCTCCTGAGTTACACAAAAATAAACAATCTCTGACTTTCATAGTAGTTTCATTTTGATGGAGAGAGACAGAACATCAAAGAAAAATGCAGAAAAACACATCACATAAACATTATCTATTGATTTGCATGTAACTGAGTGAAATAAGTATTCAACAACCAAACCAGAGTCTGACTCTCAGAGATTGTGGTTGTGTTAGATTGGTGTGAATAAAGCACACAGAATACATTTCATCCATTCCAACCTCTCCACCACCTCTCCACTCACTGCTTAATTTATTTTTTAATGAAATTAAATAATTCACATTGATATATTTTTAAAATATCTTTTTTTTTTTTTTGGGCAAGACCAAAAAACTGTCAAAGGACGTCAGGGTCAAGATTATAGACCTGCACGAGGTTGGAATCACATCAAGATCATCAGCAAGAACAACAATAAAATACTAACTCAAAACAAGGAATTGTTTTCTCCTTTTGTTAAGATGAGAAAGGAGTTAACCAAGCTTTCCATAGCTTATCATTGAGACTGGATGCATTTGAATACAAATCCTTTGGTAACAATGTAGCAGTGTAAACTATAAAATGCACCTCATCTTTTACTCTTAAAGGGTTTTTTTTGCCTTCTTGTGTTTTATACAATATACAAACTATACACATTAGTCCAGATACCTACATGTTTCCACTGTTTTGGGAGGTTCATCTCTAAACACTGGCAACTCAGGAGACTCAGGGGCTTGTACGGCTCCCAGAGATCCCGGCACAGGTCCTCCTGACACCACACTGCCCCTCTTACTGCCCCCTGTCAGCCGGACCAGCCAGTGGTCAGAGGCGGACGAGCTGGTGGAACCTAAACAGAGGAATGAAAATAATTTGTTTTGTTTCAGTCCAGTCCAATAATAAGCATGCACATTAAGAGAAAAAGACCAACTACAGCTCCATTAGAAGAAGCAATCCTGCATCGAGATGGCAACAGATCTGTGATTGTGGAGTAGTATCTATTTTCATCCATTAGGAAAAACAGACATTAGGTAGAAACTATGAAAAAGAGCGTCTCTGTGACTCATGTAAATAGAGACTGGCAGCAGGTCTTGTTGGCTATTAGCTACAACACAAGATGAGGCAGTGAAAATGAACACTGATGGGGCTAAAAATAGAGTTTTTACCAGATAATGAGGGTGTGAGGTGCAATGACACTCTCATGTTGCCTCCATTAGTTTTATATTATATGAATGAGGTGTAGCAGATTCCAGCCAACTAATAATAACAAGGCACTCTGCAGCATCTGAAAGGACTGACCTGTGACTGAGGAGCTGGCAGACCAGGGGGGGATAGTGTTTCTCCTCTGGTAGAAGAGGATGTAGGCTCCACGTGTGCACACCTCCGCCTCTGGAACTGGCTCAGCGCTGCTGTCATCATAACTGTACCACTGGCCGTCAACAGAGTTCCTGCAATAGGCTGAAATTACAATGGAAAAAGCAGAGAGACCAAACTCTTTGATTTCTGCTAGGCTCCGGCGAAAGGATGTCACTGCAGTTGTTTCTTTATTTGACTAATTAATGAGTGAAAAAGTGGTACACAGATGGGTGTGTCTGTGGGAGTTTGCTCATAAACATACACAGGAAAATACACAATGCATGGGTAATTGGATCCTTAATTGTCTGTTCAGCTTTCTATTAATACCCATGCTGCGGCTAATGACCAAGGCAGCTGATAATATGAATGCTTTTCTATGTCTTTGCCACAGGGTGTCCTCACTGGGCTTTTAAACAGATTGGGCTCTTGTATGGATCCTTTCTGAGACTTGGGATGGCTCAAACTGGAAGTTCCGGAACAGCTCATTTCTGGCAGCTTGTCTGAGATGAGTGCAAGTCAATTACACTGTTTCTTCTCGCATTTGATGTAATTCTTTTTTACCCAAAATCCTCTCAGTTAAATCCTTTGAGTTTCTATTTTTTTATTCTATTGCTTACTTGCAGTCATTTAGTTGTAGGCAGAGGGCCTGTTTATGAATCAGACTTACATCAATCAGCATGTCAGCTGGCGTCTAATGATGGTGGTGGTCATGCTGTTTGTTTCTGCTTCTTCAAGAAGATCATTTTCGGGGCTTACAATGTCAATTTTTATTTTATGGAAGACTTGCCGAGGTTAATTAAGATCCTTGCTGTCTTTTTTTATTTTCTTTAAAGTCACGCCGATGTGCAAGTTTGCCCAGACAGAGCCATTTAGCATGCACCGAAGATCTTTTTCTGTGTGGGTGATGTTAGTGCCGTCATCTGCATTTTGCAACTCCACGAGGGCTGTGTGGGAGAAATCGGTCTTGGCCTTGAAATCATTTTATTTCATCGCCTAGCTTGAGCAGGCGACCCATATATCATAAAGCTACTGCAGATACCTGAGTTCTATCTATCCCAGGGCTTTTGCTGCTTGTCTTCCCCCGCTCTCTCTCCCAGCTTTCCTGTTCACTCTAAAAACTTCTGTCATAATAAATGTATCCTCACTTTTATGGGAGAAAATGCTGCAGCCTTCTCTGGACCTGAGGTAATTTAATACAGACTGAGGTTAAGTGGAAAAGTGCTCTATGGTTGTAAAAATCTAAATTTGAAATTCTTTTTGGAAGTCATGACACATCCTCTGAGTGAAAGAAAAGAAGGACCGTGCAGCTTCTTTTCAGCTCGTGGTTCAAAAGCCACGCACATCTCACAGGATAAAGTGTGAAGGCCCAGTTTATACTGAACGATGTAGCCTATAGAAAGGTATCATTATAACTTATGGTGCCAAAACTGCTTTTTCAGGGAAAGCCTTGCTTCTTTCATCTGCGTTACAGCATCATGACAGTTTGGGTGAGGGGTCAAATACACCAATTACTCACAGCATTAAAACCTGGAGCTGGTGCAGAGAAAGACCGGTTTCTGGAATGTTCTTTTTTACTGATTTTCAGACTGACTTGATCTGCTACTGTCACTATCATCTGAGCGCATGCCAGATTATTTTAAAACAGCCTCTGTCATCCCTCTGCTTAAAATCCCCCCCAAAACGTCCAGAGATCCCACCGACAATTACAGGCCCATTTCCAAACTTCTATTCATTTTTTGAAATCCTTAAGAAAGCTGTGTAAAAAATTCTGGTAAGAACAAACAACTGAATTTTGAATCTCACATCCCAAAACTCATCCAGTCTTGCTTCCTCAGATAAAACTCAGGTTTTACATAAATCTCTGATCTCCCCAGCCTATCTTCAACTGGTCCAGAAAGCAGCGGTTAGACTGCTAACAAGACTTCGCACAACCTAAAAAATCCCCATGATGGTGTGGTGTAAGAAGTAAGAAGGCCCTGAGTTCAAATCCACCATCTGGCTGGGGCCTTTCCCCCCAATGCGTGCACGTCACATGCACTTAGTGAAATTAGCTTAATTGGCGATTCCAAATTGCCCATAGATGTGAAAGGTTGTCTGCCCTGTGACAAATTAGTGACCTATCCAGAATCCCCACCTCTTGCCCAGTGGCAGCTGGGATAGGCTCCAGCTCCAATAGGATAAAGTGGAAAAAAATGGATGGATGGATAAAGCCCTACATGGCCAGGCTCCTGCGTATAAAGTAGAGCTACAGAGACCTTAAAACTGCAGCTCTGATCAAGGTCTCCTAACGCTCTTATTTTAAAACCAGAGGTGATCACGCTTTTAGGGTTGTAGCGTCTAAACTTTTAAACAGCTTCCCTCATCCTAAGAGGTCGACTGAATGTGTGATTTGTTTTTAAAAGAAGGTCAGCTTTTCTTAAATCATCTTGATCTGTGATCTGTGGCCTCTGCTTCTCCTAATACGTGTACAGGAGTTCATATGCAGGAATGAATTTACATCTATAAATATGGTCACTTGGTTTTAATGTGTTTTTATCTAAACTGTGAGGGACTTTGTTACTGTACAAATAAAGTACAAACTTCTAAGTACATTTCTTAGATGTTACCTGTGTAATGTCCACCGTGCATGCCTCCGTGGTGGTTGCACACAGCATACAGATCATACAGATAGTCAGGAGGAGCCAGGTCAGGTCGTCTGCTCTGCTTCCAGCCCGGCTGTAGAGGGTGCTGATGGGCGCCGTGGCTGCGATGCACCACGTGCGGCGTCATGTCCAGGCCCACCAGGGGGAAATGCACGAATGTGGTGAGCTTGTTCCTCCGCTCACCCACCTGCCTGAAGCGCTTCAGATGGAGAATGAGGATGTCTGGCAGGGTCCACAGGCTCATCTTCACCATGCCCTGCTGCAGCTGCTTACAATGGGGGCACTTCCAGGCATCATCAGGTGCCAGCTGATTGGAAAAACAGAGAGGAAGGGAAGCAGAGACAAAACTGGCGTTTAAATATTTGACAGTCTCTCAAAAATCCCTCTTCTGCGTCATATGTTTGCAAATCAGTTTTCCCCTCCTGTTTTATTGCATTCTTATAACTCACACACTGGTGCAGCGAAAACCTGGAAATTCTTTCTTCCTTTGCTCGTGGAGCACTCGGCTCGACTTTGACCAAGACGTACATTTAGAATCTGTTGCCATGGTTACTACTTGTGCACACTTTTCTCGCTTCCCTATGTTTACCATCCTGAATACTGTGAAGTGATGAGCTGTTGCATTCAGCAAGGTCATGCACTCAAACTTTACAAAGAAGCGCTGAAGATTGTTTATCGCTTTGTTAATGTCACATGCATCGCAAATAAAGCACGGCTGCACTTTTCGCTGACACACAACAACAACGACCATCTCATTGCTTAAAAAATACTCTGTGAGGCAAAAATCACCTCAAACATACGGAGAATCTCAGAAAAAAAACACATCCTCCGCTTGCCTTCTGTACCTTTGTAAATGTTTGCATTTGCTTTCTGGACTGCAGTGAAAAAAAAGATAATTATGATTTTATGCTTTTATCTTCTTTTTATCAGGTTTAGAAAGGAATCAACATCTGCAATTTGTAAAAAGGAATTTATTTATACAGTGAAATATTGGTAAGTTGGCTCAATCAGAGGAACATTTACCGGCATAGATTGAACAGCGTCTCCCTCGAGACTGCAGCTCCACCAGCTGGTAACAAAATGCAACTGTAACAAAAAATGGATTCAACTACTTTCTAATCTACGTCTACTCTTAATTATTCTAATAAAATGTAATAATAAATTACATTCATCTACATCTCCATGCAAAAAAACACAGGAAAAAAAAAGTGCCTTTTGGATGTTTTACTGGGAAAAGAGACATTTTTGTCTCTGGAGTGTTTGGCTGAACGCATCACTGAAGCACATGGACAGTCATATGATTCTGACACTCCACATGATGGGAACAACCCACTTAAAAGCTGTCTAACACTGTCATGTACTGCCCACAGAGGAGAGCATGAACAGACATTTGACATGTTGCAGTCGATAAAAATACTTCGCCTGCTTGTTTTTACCTCTTTACCACCTACTGATAGACGATAGACAAACATAACCTTTCAAAAACAAACATTCCTTTCCTGTTTCAGTCAGCGTCAGTGTGTTGTACGCTGGCATATCTACATGCAACAACAACTGTCTATTTTTGAACTACCTGATTACTTCCTGATTTAATACCAATACAAACACAAACACGTAGAGCCAGTTCCACACTGCACTAGTTCAGTAGCAAAATGTACACAGCTCAGAAAAATGAAAGGAAACCTTTGAAAACACATCAGATCTCACCTGGAAAAAACAAACTTAATGGATGTCTATACTGATATGGACTGGAATATGTGTTAGGATATAAAAATATGTCACATGGTGTGACAGAAATGAAAATGATCAAAAACACCACAAAGAGAAGAACTGACGAATAGTCCGATTTGGCAAAATTTCATTGCAGCAACTCAAAATGTTACTCAGTACATGCTTGTATGCATGCCTGACGACATTGGGGAACACTCCTAATGAGACTATAGATGGTGTTTTTGGGGATCTTGTCCCAGGTCTGCACCAAGACCTACAATACTATGACCAGAGCCAGTTATTAAGAGACATTCACATTAGTTTCCTGCTGGAGGTCATTTTGTCACTCTGGCAGTGCTCGTCCTCTTACTCCCTGTCTGTCCAGCTCTCCTAGAGTAACTGCTTGCTTCCTGTAATCTTCTTCATGCTCTTGAGACCGTGCAGGGAGAAGCAGCAAACCTTCTGGCAGTGGCAGGTATTGATGTGCCATCCTGGAGGAGTTGGGCGATGTGCGTGACCTCTGTAGGGTCCACGGTGGTTGGTATGGTTCCAGCACTTCGAGCATTAGCTCTTGTTCTATTCGAGCTCTTGTCTCTTCTTATCGTTTTGTGCTTGTGGCGATTAGAAGCACTGCTGGTGCTTCGGCGTTGGTTTTGCATCCTTGGTTTTTATTCAGCCTCGATTCCTATTCTGAGTTTGTTATTTATTTTTAGTTCCTTCAGTGTTTCCCCATCTGTTCCTCCATCTGTCACTGCAGCTTCAGCGCCTCCTCATTTCAGTTATAGTGGCTCGTTCATTTCCTGTTTTTATTCTGTTAACTCATTTCCTCTGGCATCTTGTTCCTGGATTTTACTTTCTGTCTGTTGACTATCTTGTTTTTCTTCAGCTGAGCCTTGTCCCCCACCTGTCTCCACTTTATTGGTCAGCCCTCTGAGTATAAATAGTTCTGCCTTCTTCTTCCTCTTCGTCAGATTGTTTGTTGTACTTCCTGGTTTGCTTGTGTGGGTTTTCAATGCAGCTCCTCTCCCCTGCAAGTGCCGTCTGTTTATTTTGGATTGGTTTTGTCACTTTGGATTTGTTACCTCTGCTGGCCAAGCTATCAATTTTTAATAAAACTTGATTGTTTTTTTAAATTCCTCATTCTGGTCTGAATTTGGGCCAAACTTTTAGTTGAATCTTGACACATACAAAACAACTTGCTAACTTCTATCCCATTGTTAGCTTCAAATATTAAAGTGTTTTAATTGTGTCTAAAGTCTTTGTCTTTCCCTGATGGGTATCAGTAAGAAACATAGATTAGATGGAAATGTATTCATTGATTGATCTATCAGCATTAATATTGTATTATATTAAGATATTAATATTTTCTTTTATTTTTGTGCACAAGTTACCACTTTTTAAAAAACAAAAAAAAAAAAACAGAAATCAATTACGCAGTTTAGGCCGCTGAACTAAAAGAGCATAAGCAGCAACACATCCGTGCTGTACTGTTGTTCCAAACTGTAAATATCTATAACAGCACACAGTCTACCTGTTCCTCTTTGGTGTAGAGCTGGAAGCACTCATCCAAGGTGCAGCTGTACTGCTGTACATGCTGCTGTTGCTGATTCCTCACGCTCTCCGCATCCTTCACCACCTCCTCCTTAATGTTACCGAAGAGGCTGCGGGCACAAAGAGTTAGTTAAGGTTAGCGCGAATGCTAAAGTGATACTGAAACAACTGGATGCACAATATACTGACCAGTCTTTGATTCTGTGTTCCCACTCGATAATGAGCTTCACATGTGGAGGGCCTCCTGAGCCGCACAGCTTCAAAGCTCTAAAAGACATCAGGATCAAAGGTAGTTGTGAGGCATCGGTACAACGTGACATCGATCCTGTCAGCAGGACTACTCCATCTGTTTTATTTCCATCAGGCTTTTCTAACATTTGCTGCAGTTTCAAGTTATTACACATTTATCAATTTACTGGACTGTTTAAGTACATGTGCACTGATGCTTTCAAACCACTAGGTGTCAGCATCGTTGTTGCTTTTAGATGGGACATAAGCAGTTGATGTATTGACTCCGAGAGAGATGAACAATTTATCCCCATAAAATTAAACATAGGAGTGAATGTTTATGTGAGATGTGCAATACAGATGTGCAATACAGATGAACATATCTGAAGTAGCTGATGTTGATTTCAGCTTGTGCTGTTAGACTGCTGTCATCCCATTAAGACAGAACCTTTAAATGTCTCCATTAAAAATCAACTTTGAACATTTCTGAGGTGCTGTGGAAGCTGTCGAACAAAATCAATGTTTCAAAAGAAAATTAATAGAAAGAGCAGGAATCTACCAGCAGCTGTCATTCGTTTTTATGGCAGTTGTGATATGTGTGACACTATGCACATTATTATTTTAAGAAAAGCATTCTGTTGTCTGTACACAGATACAGAAATCTTTGAGCTAAAGTCTTAGATCAGGATGCTAAAACATGCTGATGGTAAGCAAGTGCAATTCTTATAATTGACACCATCTAGCTAATTATGGCAGCATGCTAACATTTAATAGTTAAAGAGACACCCACTAAAATAAGACTCAGGGGATGACTGAAGTCAGTAGGTGGTGCAGTTTCAATCTGATAGTGGTTCAGAGGTTTCACTCAAAACCAAAGTAGTTGCCATCCAATATTTGCATCCATGCTTTAATGCTAACATGACCAAAAAGGTGCTAACAAGCAATCTCTGTGGAAGCAGTGACCTGTGTGACATTACACACAAACACAAACAGTTTACAGAGGCCAAAAGAAGTGAACAAAGTGTAGTGAAGCACTTGCACTAGAACACTCTTGCCTACTTGATATGGGCTGACTTGGGGACAGAACATATTTCTGAATCATTAGAGTTCAAACGCTATCATTACACGAGATTCTCGGATACAGTGTGCTGCTTTTGCATTTGCATTTCAAAAGATTTCAAAAGCATTTGCCCCCATCAGCACCATTCAGTGAGTGAATGAACTGTTCTTCGCAGCCACACAAATGGAAGTCCTTTAAAGACCTTGCCAAAATGGTCCTTTGAAACAGCAATTCACTTCTGCAACTGAAAGCCATCAGACATGCGCCTGTAAAGAAAGAGGAAATGTCTGCACATTTCAGTCACTGCTGTGAAAATCAAAGCCAATCTTTCCAGTAAATGTGATATACATAAAAAAGATGAAATTAAAGCCAACTTTGCCTTCAGGACAGCATCAATCAGAGAATGCTAAACTTATTTTTACCCACACATGGTGGTGTGCAGCATGTCAGCATGCTGCTTGTAGCTTTTATTTTCAAGAAACCTTCTGGTTAGATCAGAGAGGAATTCAAATCCATTCAAACTGATTAAATTAGACCTAATATGAGTTAGCTTATTGAAACAGGTTATTGAGGTGAGTTTGTTGGATTTCAAACATAATACCAGTCATTCCACAACTCAGGAGATATTTACAATGATCTAATAATTCTTTAGACCAATAAAATATGAATATATCTGTCAAGGTGTGTGCTGGAGTAGGCAGGATGAAGGACAAATGCAGGACCCATACACGGAATGAAAACTTAAAGTGTCACCTTTTATTGCGGGGAAGACTTTCCATAAAAAATAAACTCACAAAAAAACCAAACAAACAAACAAACAACAGAAAAAAACTTGATCATGAAAACTAGAAATTAAACTGGAAACTTGAAAATAAAAAACACAGACTAGGAAAACAAACTAGGAACTGAGAACTAGAATTAAGCCAGGAACACAAAGAGAGAAAACAGCAGGATGAGGATATCTGGATTCCTTATCTGGAAAACACGGGGCTTTAATACACAAGGGAGTAACGAGGGAATGGAAAAGAGGAGGGAAGCACAGCTGGGCTAATCTGACATAACGAGACACAGGGACATAGGACACGGACTACCAAAGTAAAACAGGAAGCACGAGACAGTTTATAAAGAAGCAGGATAGACACTGAGACGTGGAAACATGACAGACTCTGGAACAGACAGAACATGAAGCACAGATACAGAAGGAACTAGACGTGGAGCACAGGAAGACATAAAGACAGAAAACTAAGACTAAGCATACAACTCGCAGGGACCAGAAACTGAGCAGAAACCTAGAAACCAGGAACAGTAAATATAATACAAAACAGAAAAGCATAATTCAAAAAGTATAACTTAATCCAAAAACACAAAACACTGGGTCACCGACCCAGGACCATGTCAATATCAGCCTTATAGTTTGCTCAAACGCATTCAGTTTTATTTATATAGCTTTAATTTACAACAACAGTCACCTCAATGTGCTTTACATTGTAAGGTAAAGACCTTATAATAATAGAGGAAACCCCAACAATCAGAAGACCCCTATGAACAAGCACTTGGCGACAGCGGGAAGGAAAAACTCCCTTTTAACAGGAAGAAACCTCAGGCAGAACCAGGGTCAGGGAGGGGCGGCCATCTGGACTGATTGGTTGATGGGAGGAAGACGGGACTTCACTTATCTAGTATAAACCCTTACCAGTTGGCTAGCTACGCAAAACTAATAATTATCTCACAGTTCTGACTGTCCTTCCTGTCCTTGATGTTCAGAAGCAGTCCTCAATGCTACCACCACCTCTTCTGTACTATTAGCATTTTCTAGATGATAGGCATCCCAAACAGAGAGCCACCTCCACAGGACAAGACTCAGCAGTCCATCTGCATCTTAAGGATAAAGGTCACTCTTTCGAGGATGCCAATGTTCACATTTTGGACAGAGAGGACAGATGGTTTGAAAGAGGAGTGAAAGAAGCCATCTATGTCCACTGTGAGCGACCATCTTTGAACAGAGGCGGGGGTTTACGACACCAACTCTCTGCCATCTATAATCCAGTTTTGAGATCCCTTCCCAGATGCCTTAACGCCCACTCACATCCTGGGCCATCTGACCTCAGGAATTCGCATGATAAGGTGGGGCCAGGTTTCACAATGAACACACCCGAAACTCTGGCTGATTGGGACCCACACCCAGTTTCACACCTTGGCTCAGGCGATTAGAGGATCATCAGGGGGTCCTTTTGTCCCTCTGTGGGGGGATACTCCCACTAGGTTTATATCTGGGACTCTCCACCATTTGACCTTAGAACTGAAGAAGCTTCTCGGATGAGAGGTGAAACGTCTTCAAGCAACTTAAAGAAGTCCAGACGCTTTTCTTTGCAAGCTCCTTTGACTACGATGACCTGGATGACTGAGAACCTTCACAGACACATCCCAAACAGTTCAGTTGTATAGCTGCTCTGATGGAGTGCTGCTGGGATGGTGGTCCGTTCAGCAGGTTTTTCCGGTTCTACAGAGGACATCTGAAGTCTTGTTCTTGATCACCTCTCTTAGCTGGGTTACTACACATTTTGGTAAAACTCCTAGAAGACTCTGATCTCAGTCTCCTTGTATTTGACAGTGATTGAGGCCACTGTACTCCTGGGAAACCGCAAAGTTTCAGATGTGGATTTAGACCCTTCTGCCGATCTACGCCTTGCCTTAGTTTTATCACGGGAGCATACAGAGTTATTCTTGGATGTTCACAGCTTGATCTTTTTCCTGATGTGTGGAGTCAATTTTTGTACACTTGACAGCCAATCCCTGCAATTTTCCACTGGTGGACTCTAGTCAAGTTTAAGTAGACACCTCAAGGGCCATAAAAGATAACAGGATGCATCTGACCACAATTTGAAGTGGTACAGAATAGCCTCTGTATCCTTTTGCGAAAGGGAGAGTTGAATTTTTGAGAAGTGATAAATTTTGAAAAAAAAAAAAAAATCTAATTATATAAAAATACTTTACACACTGTCTATTCAGAGCTCAGGGAATACGTTCTGTGACCTTTCGCTTCATGCACGCTTTCAAATTTTTGTTTGGCATAAAAGTTGCTGCAGCTGTGGGGGCTCCCCAGAGCTGCAGAGGAAGATTCAAGTTTCAACAGGAACTGCAATTAACACCCCAAAATAAGAAAAAGTCATTATGAGTGAATAAGTGATAATTGGAAGAACCAACACATAACATGGGGACTTGTTATGCCCTGATATACGCTAACTTATAAGATTCAAGTACTTTTGGCATCCTGACCTGTCGACAGCAGGGTGGTAGAGAGGCTGCCCATCCTGAGGTGACAGGTAGCTGTAAAACACGGATCCCCCCACCACACGGATGTTGAACAGCACTCTGGTGTTCTGAAAGAGGAGCATAAAACACACGGTAAACACACGGACAGCATCAGGATACTTTATCATACAGCAGCACCTCCTGAATGTCTTTAACATCTCTCAGCGCCTCTCTATAGATACTGTAAGTGTTTTATACTTTCTGGATCTCAGCAGTATTATTAGATAAATGCATCTGCATATGAAAGTCAGTGTTAGTTTGCTCCTTAAGACGTTCTCACATACACCATTTAAAAACGTAATGTGCTTTTATTTCTATGCAGTGTCAGGTAAACAAGTTAAAGCTCACATTTTCACTCATGTTAGTGCCGTGTGGCTACATGGATGGTTAATTCTTCACATTCAAATACACAAACTCACTGATTAGCTGTTTAGCATAAATAGCTGTGGCCAACACAGGGTCGACCCTTTCGGCATTTGGATTTCTCCCCCTTTTTTCTAATAACCACACAGATGTTCACAATAGCTGCTAGTTTATTAGTTCTTTTACATTTCCTACCTACGCTGCTCATTGCTTTTTATATGATTTATCACATTTTGATGCATTCTCAATCATCCAGGAAAGTAAATCAAATGTTGCAGGAAAGCAATTGCAAATGTACTGTTTATAAGATTTGAAACCTGCAGTCAGCTGAGACTGAAGAAGTCACTTGGATGAGTGACGAAACGTTTCTCCCACAAAACGCTACGTCCAGATGAACAGAATCAACTTTTGGAGATTTATCACATTATTTAAAATCACTTGTTGAAGTTAAAGCATTGGGCGGTATTCTCTTCTCTTATATTTACAATCTAGCACAAAGTACACCCGGCCTCAAAGAGCTGCTATTATCGCTGCAGACTTGTTGTCTGCATGTTACCACAACAACTACCAAAGCTCTGCTGCTTGGAGTTGAGTGTTATTATTCACCCAGTCAGGGTTTTGTGTACTGATCAGGCAAAAATGAAGACTCAGTTTGCTGAGCGCAGACCAAAAATAATTATTTTATGAACCTAATATGTGAAAGACAGTCGGCAGCTATATTAAGAGGTTGCTAAAAAATTTCGAGATTAGAAAATCACGAGATTATTTGCAAAGGCAAAAAAAAAAAAGGGTTTGTGAAAACTTCATTTAGTCACATAAAAGCCTTCTATTTATCAAAAACCACTTTACTGTCACACCCTTTAACACTAAAACTATCTGGAAGGTCAAGCTTAACCACCTAGCCTCCCACCCACAGACATCACAAGTCAGAAAAAAAAGAATAGGAGGAAAAAGGGAGGTGTAGAAGTAGCAGTGTAAGAGAACAGAGACAGAGAGGGACTCAGTGCAGCTGGTAAACTATGGAAATGATCGCATGTCTAAAAACTGGGTGAGATGTCTGTTTTTGTGTCTGTTTTACCACACGGTGGGGTTAGGGGAGCAGGATTTTTGGAGGCCATCATCTGGTTGCCTAGTCACAGACAAGATACCTGAGCCTTCAGTGCTGATTTGCCTCTTTGTAATCTTCTGGAGTTTTTTGAACACCGACACATGAGTGCAGAATGTACAACAGCTTCTGTTTTCCCATCACACGATCAGTCAGTGCTTCGTCTTGGCAAATAATTACGTCAGACATCACCCACTTCACCATCCCATTAGGTACATCCTTCCCCGCGGCTCACCAAAACATAGCCAGAATTTCTTATGGAAGGAATGGTGCCTCTTTATATAAGGCGTCATTGAAGGCTAATGATCTAAATCAGTCTTTACAGGCAATTTGTTTAAAAAAAAACCTAAAAAAAACCCCTGAGTGAAACTTCCCGCCTTGATATCTTTCAGACGGTGATTAGTTGCTGGCGCTTGCGTGCTAAAAATGGTTCTTGAACAGCTGTTCCAAACTATTTAAAAATGCTGAAATGGAAATTAGTGTGGATAAAAAACAATGGCCTGTTTTTGTGTTATATTTAAGTTGGAGAAATGTGCTGTGTATGGGCTCGGGAGATACAAAAACAAAAATGGGCCATCGTGAAATATAGGCTGAGACCTGCACCTGACATTTTTAGCTCATGGCGTGAATCAGCACGGAGCATAGCAATTAAGTGTCTTTTTCTTAAATCCAAACCACAAACAGACTCAGACTTTTCTCTCATATGCTATTCAACCACGCTGGAAAACACGAGTTCAGGAGAAAAAAAGAGAAAAAGAGTGTTTCTTGTCCTCTGAAGCCCGAGTATATTACCCTGAGACCTGCCTTAGATCAGAAGTGCTTTAGGAACGAAGGAATGGAAAAATGAAATCGATTTCCTTTTGTTCTGGGGAAATCTGTTGCTGGCTGGCCTCAAACACAAACTCCCACACGAGGCTGAGAGGAAAAGCTCAGACCGGCAGGATCTTTCTGATGACCAGGAGCACAGCGGAGCAGACAGAACATTCCTGGAGAATATTGACGTGCTGAGCCCACCGGTGCGCACGCACCCCTGGGGAAAGTTAAATGTTACTTTTGAATTACTGCCTCACAAATGCACACGCAGTACTATCCAGAATGTCAGCTAGCTGCTGAAATGCAGCAGTTAGCACTTATCGTTAGAAAGTAGCATTTTGAGGGCACACACACACACATACATAGTAGCTTATAACGAAGCTATCTTCACTGTCTGTGGTCAGTGAAGGCATCAAACGTCCGTGTGGTGTCTAGGTGCTTTGGGCGGCCTTTCCAAAGAATTCAAAACCATTCCTGCCTGTTTATTTGGAATGCTAGATGACAAGTTTAAAACCAAAATGACTTTTTATTGCAGCCTTGCCAGGCTTGTTGTGAGTTCCACTGCAAGGCTTGTGTGTACATGCAGAGCGACCACCCAGTGAGTTCTTCCAACTCGAGATTCTCATCTCAAGAAGCAGAGAAAACTTCCTCTACAATAAGATACATGCACTTATATTTTTAAATGCCCTTCTTTTGACTCCTTCAACAACATTACCTCTCCTCGCACACATGAGATAATTCAGTCTGAACTCTTGTCTTGAGCTGCAATTCTCCAGAGATGGCTTAGCATCCATAAGGAGTCATGACAGAGCTGTCAAGCTTGAGATGTCTCTACATGATGTAGAGCTGTGAAAATACAAAGAGTCTGAACAGCACTGCAATGCAAGATCAGTGCTGTTTTCCCATATTCCCACATTCCATAAGCATCATTAGTGGGCGAGGAGGGAAACTAGAGTTTTATTTCCCTAGGACATGCAGCTTTGAGCCCCAGTCTTTAAGCACAATATAGCATCAAGCGCTTCTTTAAGACCTTTAAAAAAATAGATCAAACTCTACTGTTAGAAGTTTGTTTCCTTCTGTCTGTCTATGCTTTCAAAGATGACTTTACCTTTTGACTGTCACTTAAATTCGTAACTGTGTCAGAGCATATTCTTGACAAGTGACAAAAGTAGCATATTGTTCTGGTAACTGTTCTGTATGTGCTTATCTTCCTCCCAGCTTTAAGATGAATCTGTGAAGGCAACGCCAAAAACGAGGCGGAGCTAACAGACCATTGGTTGTGTGTCAGACAGTAAATATGAGATAAAAATGAGCCGAGAGATTCTCAGGTCAGTGTCGTAACCATAGAAGATTTGCATAGACTGTGCAGGCGCCGGGCTGCAACAGGTGTGGCAACACTAGCCTGAGGACCACGCCCTACATAAGGTCCACTGTCTGGAGAGGATCGTTTGATTCCCTTTTCATTCAACGAGTCAGCTCAGCGATTGAGACTTGCTGCGTGCCTAGGAGGATAGAAGGAGTAAGTAGGAGTGAACTGCTGCTGCTATTCTGTAACTGTGTTCTCTTATTATAATAGACTAAAAATGTAAGCCCATATTTTTTGCTTTGTTACTTTCAGTCAGGTCTCTGAGTTTGTGTTGATGCATAGTTCTGTTAGTTTGCTGTTTTCACTTTAGCTCACCCTGACAATTTTGTATTTCTGAAGTTGTCAATCTGCTAAATAATAAATACAATGTTTTTTTCCACATAGAAGTTGTTCTTAGAGAAGTAGATTTTCATGTTATGTCCTGCCTCTCAGGTTGGAAGTTACCACAGTGAAACATGAATATAGTCATTCTGAGAAATATAATGTGATAAGGATATTAAAGGTATCTGAATATACATTTAAAGACAATTTTCAACATCAAATGTGGTGAAGACGACGTGCTGCAGTTCAAACAATAAAACATCAGAGTGAGGAAGAAAGGTAAAGTAACTTTGAAGCAAATGGGAAGACAACAGATACTCAAATATTCACTTGTTACAATCAAGGTGTGCAGAAGAGCATCTATGAACACACAACACATTGAACCTTGAAGCACCAGCAGCAGCAGAAGACCACACCGGCTGCCACTCCTGTCACCTTATATCAGGAAACTGAGGCTATGATTCACATGGGCTCTACAGAATTAGACAACAGACGTTAGGACAAACAATACCAGGTTGTTGTTAGTTTTAATATCCAATCAACAACTGATGGGAACACGAAATGTTTTTAAAAAACTTTTAATATATTTAAAGTAATGAAACAGACAGTTACACGTTTTCGTGAATCCTGGATAGAAAGGCTGTATGTGGGGTGCATCAGTCATTTACGTGGAAGATCATGTACCACATTTCAAGTTTGAGTCTTTGAGTTTCATTCAGAGTTGTCATCCTCTCTCTCTTTACCTGACATTTTCTGATGCAAACGGTCATATGGATCTACTTAGAAGGGCACGGGTCTCAACACTACGTCGTTAAGTGATGTCAGTACCAGGAAAAATGGCAGAGGACGTGCTTTTTTTTGCCTTTGCTAAAGCTAAAATTAGACAAAAGCGGAAAATATCCACTTGTGAGCATAATTCATTGAGGCAAGAAAACCACATATTCTGCTGAGTTGAAAGATTTAGAGCAAACATCTGCTCTGAGCACTGCTCCCTCCTTGGCAAAGGTAGGCTTCCAGCAAACTGATTATACTCTACGAGCCTGGTTTTAATTAAACAGCTGACAGCATGGGGCACAAAGGAGGCTGCAGATCTCCAACAGAGTTACAGAAAACGCTGCACCTGACTCTTCTCTTCCATCTCTCTCCTGGCGTTTCTGAAAGAGCGGCGAGCAAGTCTGCGCCTTTCTTGTGCTCTGTATGGCTGTTTATTGCAGCTGCATGGCACCTGCACCACGCAGGGAGAGGCACTGATTGAAAATCAGTTTGGCTGAACAATTAGCAACAGGCTTATGCACACAGTGATATGCTCAAGCACAGGAATGTGTTCAGTGCAATCATAGACTCTTTGTTTGGGGGTGTCTTGGTAGCAAAATTATTTACAAAGGTGAGTTGAGAGCTATGCAGTTATCTTTGTCCTTGTGTGCACAATATGACTGATAAATGCATATTGAGATAACAATAGCTGAAAAGAGTGATCCATAGGGTTTAATGTGATGTCGTTCCACCCTTTGCAGCTACAACAGCTTCACTTCTTCTGTTTATGGGAAATTAAGGTCAGACTGATGATAAGAGACTTGCAGTCTCCGCTCTAATTCATCCCAAAGGTGTTCTTTCGAGTTGAGGTCAGGATTCTGTGCAGGCCAGTCAAGTCCTTCTTGCTCATCATCTTTATGTACCTTGCTTCGTGCATTGTTGCGCAGTCATGTTGGAACAGGAAGGGGCCATCGTCAAACTGTTCCCACAAAGTTGGTAGAATGAAATGATTTAATTAACTTACTAATCTGATCGGCAGATGGAGGAGTATTATTTATCGCTCCAGAGAACCTGTCTCCACTGCATCTGACGTCTTGTATTGGACTTGGTGGTGTAAAGATGTCACAAACCTTTGGGAGATTATATAAATATATCACACAACTGTAAATTTGAGTTTAACACTGGAAGAAAAGTCACAGCTTATTTTGTGTCTGATGTGGTTTTGACAGTTTGCATATTTGGAGGGGAAGGTATCACCAGAACGAATGTATGATTGGCACAGGTAGACACTCAATGCTGTGAACGAGGTGCGCAATGATTTGGTTCTGTCCTGTAACTCTTTGCTGCTGAGTACAGATTTTTCAGGTCCTCATTAACACCAGCATTTTGATGAAAGGGAGCAGAAGTGAACTGAATGTAGAGCGTCAGGGGAATGAGGAACCCGATGGACAAAATACAAACAGGCAAGTTAGCTTTATTTCTTTTTACACGATGAAAACATCTCGTATCTCGTGCGTGTTGTTTCTCAGCAGTGCAAATACAGAGCGAAACAACAGATACTGAGACTCAGACACACCTGAAGTGTGTTGTCTTTTTAATGGTGCAGATCAGTTATAACAAACTGTAACAGTTTGTAACAATGTAGCTCTCCTCTGAGTCAAATCTGCAATAAACCTGAGAAGAAATTTGATGAGTTTGCCTTTATATTAAGAACACATTGATTCTCCTTCTTTTTGGGGCTGCTTCCAATCACATGGTCTGGACTGATCCCCGTGTCCTACACAGGAACGGATGCATCAATCTTAAGTTGATGCATCTATCGTCCATGTGAAGGTTCAAAGATTACAAAAAAGTGCTATTTGAATGAGAAAATGAGGCTTGTAGAAAGAAAGTGCTTTGAGTATGAACGGAGTAGAAAGTCAGTTTTAGATCGACCTTGGGTTGATCTAAAATACCATGTTATTCCAATTTTTGTGTATTATTTTTATTTATTATGTCAGTGCGCCCCAATCACATCCCATGAACAGCTCAGTGTGTATTAGTAAAGAATCCACATTCACCTCCTAAGAAATCCCAACATTTGCTCATAGAAAAGATAACACAGCGTGATTGAGACTGAGCAGGACCAGTAAATGTGATTGGCAAACAACAACGCTACACCGTAATGCATGAGTGGACAAAAGCAATGCTCCCAGCTCAAACGTGACTATATAAATGACTTATAAATGAGGCTCTGAGACAGAGGAAGCAATCTATTCATTCATCAACACACAAAAAGAGGGAAATAAACAGCCTAGACGAGAGAACAGCTACGCTCATGCATCCCTTTAGGGTGCAAAACTCAAATAAATATTTATTTGCCTTAAAATAACCGGATTACATATAAATTTGTTACATAAGTATGACATAAAAGGCTTTTTTTGATGAGTTGGTCAAATTCACCTGACTAGCATACATTCAGTTCATACCAAGCATATCTCAATTTAATGATTAATTATTCAAATGCAGTAAATAAACATTTTATTTTATATATTTCATTTGCATTTTACCCAAAATGATTGCCTTGTGTTTTTCGAGGGCAAAGAATCTTTCTTTTTTCTTTTCTTTTTTATGACACAAACCAGCATTTGTCATACCAGTACACCTGACTCTACTTTGTTGTGCTGGTAGGCACAGCGAGAGGACACCAGCTCATCTCTGCTGCTTCCAGCTCTGAGCTCTGAGATCTCGCGGCTGTGAAACACAGTGTCACTGTGTTCACTGTGTGGGCATGCTTTGCTCTGTCTCGAGCCAATAAACCTGGCCTGGAACAGGTGCGCCAGCCGGCTCTGCAGGAACTCTAGCTGGTGCTTGAAACACACCCGCCTACGCACACTGCCATTAAATATAAGCTTTAAAAGCATCATAGGTGTCATAATGCAGGGGTACAGTACAATATCTTTTCTGTATTATTAATATTATTATTGTTATTATTATAATTATTACTGATTTATTGCACAGGGCTGTATTGTAGTTTTAGTTTAGTCTTTATGGGGCTTTACTATAGCTTTAGTTGTGCCTAATTAGTGTGTCTAATAATCAGTGTTAGTTTTTTTGGTTCCTAGACTGAATTCCTAGACATCTCTGGCAGTTGGGTTTAACCAGAGGACATGGAGTTAAGCATCTGTTGTGCTAGAATTTCTCTACGTGAGTCTGTGAATCCCTACCCTGGCATGGATATCTCAATAGGACATGAGGAGAAGACAAAACAAAACAAAATTTCCTTCAATCATTAAAAAAAAAAAATCTATCTTTGTATTACCTGTGCCTGAGCTCCGTTGATCATCAGGTAATACAGCTTGCTGAGGATGCTCTGCTGCAGCTGATCCCAGGAAATAGACCGGTCCTCCCTCATGAGGAACGGAGGCCCGAACCTAAAACCAGCACAGAGGAAATTAGTGTCACAGGAGCTAAAAGATGATGAATTCAAAATGGCAACACCACCACTCAGCCATCCCATATTACCCCTTACTGACTCACCGCCTTCTTATCCTATTGTAATGTAAATAATTATTTATCATCATTATCAGTATTAGAGCAGAATTCTCATTACAGCCCATCTACAGAAGGGAGATAAGAAATGGAAAAGACCCTGTGACATGACAGATCACATGACGCATTTATTATAATACTCATTTAATTGAGGTCAACCCGCTATTGTATGTATTAGATTTATTAGCATACACGTCCATAAAGAGACAAAATAAGAAGCAGATACACATCAGAATTGTAATGAATGAAAGAAAAGCTCTGGTGCATGTTTAAAGACACTGTGTTTTTTCATTTGCACATTTTTGCAGACACTGATGCAAAACAGTAGATTTTAACATATTGTGCCAGTGAAAGCTGGGTGAGGCCGTAGCCTCCTGCAACCCCTGAATTGGATAAGCAGTTAAGAAAATAGATGAATGGATTTCTTAAAATAATCTGCAAAGTTCTCCACTCGACTCCAAACCTAAAAAAAATCAAAAACAGTGCCTCATTCAAATGTGTCCAAATTTACCTGCACTGCTTCCAAAACACCAGCTAATTTTAGATGGCTTTGCAGGATTACCATTGAACTTGTGCCTGAGCCATGTGTGCTAAATTCCCTTCACTTTGTCAAAACAGTCACTCTTTAGCTTGAATTTTATTTTGGGTGAGAAAGCAAAGTCACAAGGAGGCAGATCAGGCAAGTAGGCATTGGTCAGTGGGTTAAGAGTATGCCAGCACACTATCTGCCATCATCTACAACATGCATGCCCCTCTCCTGACGTGCTGTCTGCAGGCCTTTATGATGTGGACTCTTTCATTGGAAGCTGCTTTTCTGTTATTGCCAGCAGTATGAAATGTAATTGTCTTGCTCTATGGTTTGTGACAGATAGCCTTACCTTCAGAGATCCCAGTTTATTATTTCTTTCACACAATATTTTGGAAGTTTCATGAAAGAAATGTGAGAGTTGGGGTCATACAGAAATATCTATTATCTACTGATAGGTCTATATTTTATACTTGAGCTGACAGGTGTAAGAATTGGCATCTACAGGCAAAATGCAAAAGAACCAAATTGCTAATAGAAGTAACACCTTTGGGTTTCCACACATAAAAATATCCCATCACAGTTCCAAGTTTTCACACTGGTGCTCAGAAATGTGTCTGTGATGCTCGACTAAAAAGAGTGAAACAACTATGTGACTCCAATGTCATTTTCTTGGCGCTGCACAATCCTCCAGCTGTCATCTGATGAGAACGAGATAGGTGGGTGGGCTGAGCAATGGCAGAGAGGCGTTTGAAGGAGAAACGGAGAGGCCGACCCTTATAGATTTGAGCGGACTTTCTCTCAGTCGCGTTGGCAAGCTCACCTATATTGATCTCTCTGGACTCTGTCACAGTGTCTGATGGATCTCTGTGTATAGCGCCAGATGTCAGAGTCCTCGGTCGTTTGATTTGAAACTCATCTCACTGAGTCACAGAGTGAAATGTGAGCCTTTTCTGTGACAGGGAGATAATCTGACCTTGAAGTGGTTCCCTAGAGGAAGGCTATGTATAAAACAAGTTTATCAAAGTTGATTAGGTTTAAAGGACAAGTGGCTACTTCCTGGATTCATTATTTCTATATATACAAAAAAAATAAAAATAAAATAAAGAATGGAAACATTTTAAATTCTAAAGTATGAGCCTGCATCTTATAGCATGGACAAACTGACAACACTGGCAAATGTAACATCCAATGGCAAGACACTTCCATGAGCTTAGAATTCCATTTTTCTAGTACCTCGGATAAAACAGGGCGGATGAATGTTCAGCTTAAAGTGTAACCTCACAACATTAGGTTGTCCACCACTTGATGGCAGGACACCAATGGACTTATACTCTTGTATGCATTCACTTGTTAAATCTATGATAGTGTATGGAATTAAAGCTGCTTAGCTTGCCCAAAGATGCTCCTGCATCTGCAAGCTGCTTTGCAACCCGCCACCATCTCACACCTACAACTGATTTAGGCCTGGTACCCTAACATGCATGTCACTGGGAGGAAGCTGGAGAACCCACATAGACATAAGGAGAGGGTGCAAACGCCACACATAAAGGCCCCGTGTCACTAGTGGGTTCGACCTCAGGAGCTTCTTGATTTCATGCGATCATCCTAAATGACTGGAGATGGAAATATCAGTGTTTTTAGACTACAGTGGCCATGAATAAGCTACGTATGACCTGGCAAGGAGCAAATGTTGTTGAGCGAATAAAGTTAAAGTTGAGAGATGAAGTAGATGAACTCTGATACTTAAGGAAGTCATCTTCCAAACTCTTCCCATGGAGAGTATCACTCTTACTGGGACCCCAGGCACGCTCCCACACAGCGATCATTTGACAGGTCTGCTGCTTAGGTGTGATGTCTAAGCTATTACAGAACAATTGCTGTCAGAGAGGATGTTACAGTGAGCAGCCCATTGATGTAATTACCTAACCGCCTGCTGGCCGGCTCCTGCAGCGTTGCACACCAGCAGCAGAATCTTGACGGGGGCACCTTGGTTGAGGAACTCTGATGATAACGTCCCAGATGGGGGTAACCTCTGACCCTCAGGACCTGTTGCGTATGGGGATGATGGTAGGCTGTGATGGTACCCTGGAAGAGGATGGGGAACACAAGTCTGAGAAGTAGAACGTGCTCAAAAGAGGAAAGAGGCACTAAAATGAGTCAGCTTTTAACAACTTTGCATTTACAGCACCAAATATTTCACGTTCCTCTTGAAAGGAAGCTGAACTGATTCCATGTGCCGAGAATGTGTTCACGAAACTTAACACCTCTACTGGGGAGTAAGGAGGAGAATTGAGATATATAAAGTGGCGAGACAGCAACTTTCTATTTGGGGAACAGTGATTCAGAGGGGAGAACAGATGGACCAATGGCTGCCTGCACTCTCAGCAGGAGGTATTATCTGATACAGCTTCTGTTCCACATCCCGTCCTGGTGGGGTGCCAAGAAGCGCCACTTCTCGCTCGGTCCCCTCGTGTCTGTACCAACACACAGAGGAGTGTGACCGAATGAGGGAAAAGCGGAGACTATAAGATTCCTGCTTGATGTGACGTCAGTGGAGCTGCTTTCCCATCACACAGCTGACAACCTTCAAGCTTGGCACATAAGTAGGTGATTCAGAAGTTCACGGCAATAAATCACATGTTAAATTACTTGCAGACGGTATTGATTGACCACAGCGGCTGTGTTCCCATACAACAATGTTTCATTAAACAATGCTGTTTACACCTAACACATGATTCATCAATGACAAAGCAAATGTCATGTTACTGAGACTGTTGTAAAGCAGCAAGCCTGTGCTGAAACGTGCCTCCTCTTACACATTTAATTCAACTCGGTTTAGTTTAATTCAGTTTTATTCACGTAATGCCAAATCACAACAGCAGTCACCTGAAGGCACTTTATTTTGTAAAATAAATTAATGCATTAATGCAGAGAAAACCTCAACAATCAGCCACCGCCCTGGTTGGAGGAGAGGGGAAGAAGACTGGAAAACACACACACATACAGTTGAATGGTGAGGGCATTAAGCTGTGCACTGTATGAAGGACAAGATCTCTTCAAAATGAGTCGAACCACCACAGCTTAAACATTAAACTTCTGATTGCAGTGTCTTGACCTTGCGATTGAGCGCAATAAATATGCACAGCTTTTGATTTCCTAATGTTGCCCTAATCAAGCAAGCGGGTGATAAAACTTGCCCACTAGGAGCTTTCCATTTACATGAGGGGCGACCTCAGGGGAATGATTTATGGGTGAAAATCTCCTTTTAGATCCCCCATGAAACATGAAATTCATAAGCCATATTCTGGCTTGTCCCACTAAGATTTATGCAGGGGTGCTTGGGAGGAGACCTACCTGTCATTTGTCATTAAATCTGTTTTTTACATTAAGCTGTCAAAAACTGAACTGTTTCTAGGCTTTTTTTTTTTTTTAAAGCTCCTGTTGCTGCTCTCATTATTTTTTAAACCTTGTTTCCAGGATGAATAACAGTTCAGTGTGTGTCTATTTGACTGTTTTCATTCATGTAACCCGAACTTGTCTATTGCCACAGGCATTCTATAAAAAGGCAATTACAGTGCAGCCATGAGACATTTATAACACACAAATGTGCACCACACTAAACCACAAACCTGTTGATCCTGACCTTTTATCCTGAAAAAGCCTCTAACTAATTCTACGAAACCGCAGGAGGCCGCAAACTCTTCCTTCCCCTGCACTCTCAGGCTTCTTTCACTGTCAAACAGATGAAGAGGTTGAGCCTCACTAAACACAGCCAGACTATGAGAACCCATAATTAAACACCTCTACGCCTAATGGGATATACTCTACCCACAGCAACAGCTATCCCTCCTTTCCATTAGCAGTCTGAACAGTCGTGTCTTTGAACAGGAAAGGCAGTCAGACGTGAGCTTCAGTCAGGTAACAGATGCACATTTACAGCTTTGAATTTGTAGTAAAATATTACATAACAAGTATGTATTAATGACAAAAAATTTAAGCACTGAAAATATGATGCATAAGGAGGAAGATTGTCTGTGAAAGCTGTCAAAGCGCGATTTCAGACCTGCTTGGTACTGTTGTGTGTCTCAGTGAACTGATGTCATTTAGGCGTAACCTTATCTTCCACAGTGATTTATTGTCACATTTAACAGATTTAATCATATAAACAAAACAGTGAAAGGCAGGACAGATGTTACTCATAACGAATGCTCCATTCATTATTGGGAAACCTAATAATACCACCAAATATTTGATTTGAGCTAAACTGTTTGTTCAACAAGACTGTAGGTCTTGTTGAACAAACAGGGTTACAAACAAATGATATTCCTATCGTTACAACGCTGTTACAGTTACTAACAAGAAAATGCGGTCGCGTTACTATTTTTCAACAAACAACCGGTTGAAGCCATTGACTGTAAAAAAGTTGTTTTGTACAGTCAATGGTTGAAGCTGTGTTCAGCTTACCGCATCTTATATCAGTTGCACGGAAGTAGCTATAAGTAATCTGGACGCTACAGCTTTAAGCGGCTGCGCGCGCTCCCGCGGACGGCAATCACTAGGGGTGCAACAATACTCGTATCGATATCGAACCGTTCGATACAGTGCTTTCGGTTCGGTACGCATATGTACTGAACAATACAAAATTTTTAATTTGTATTGTTTTTTAATACAAAAATTTTTTAACATAAATTTTTTTTTTAATGTGATACCCCTGCTGCTGTCAGACCTGCAGGTATCAGGCTGTGATGTTCTCCTTTATAGTGGACAGAAATTATTTGTTTGGCTTCTTATTGAATGCAGAACACCTGATGGTTATGTTACTAGTCATGGTAAAAGGTAAATGGATACAAATAACTTTGTTGTTTGCAAAACTTGTGCATATGATTTTAAAATTCACAATTTATATTTGCATTTAAGGTTATGAAATATGATTCAATGAACATGTTTGTGGTTGTTACAGTAAAAATATCACTTTTTCTACTCGGATTTTATGTTGTTTTTTTTGTCTGATTTTAGATCAATTGTGTTAATACAGTATGTCAACATGAAAACATAACTGTAAATTCAGACACGTGAGGGTATGCTGAAAACAATGATACCAAACACGGCAAAGTAAATAGTTTTTAAAGGTGAAATGTGGAGGGAAAATCAAAAGTGGTTAAAATGGCCAATTATACCCTGGACCCCAGAGGGTTAAACATATATTTTTTTAAAGTAACGCAATAGTTACTTTTCAAGTAATTAATTACTTTTAGAATCTGGTAACTCAGTTACTAACTCAGTTACTTTTTTGAAGAAGTAACTAGTAACTATAATTAATTACTTTTTCAAAGAAACTTGCCCAACACTGCTGTTAATTATAGGATCTTTACCTTAGCATCTTGAGGCAACTATTTTGATTTGGTGCTGATCAATAAAACTAAATATTAAAAAGGATTTTAGTTAAAACCACTAATATCAACAAACATGTGGTACAACGGTCAAGTGGTTGAGGAAAAAAATCAATACAGCATACTATTGTGACGTTTTGGATGGTAATGCCCTATTGATATAGGGACACCAAATAAATCACACTCTGGGAATGCCGTGAACAAGTTGGCTCATCTCACGCACCACCATCCTGAGATAAAATTAACCTTGTGTTAGCTTTATATTAAATTGACTCAACCCCCCCAAAAACCATCCAACACTGGACACACTTAGCTTTGCAAACCTACCTCCTATTTATAGCCTGCATGGTTTGTTGGCATTCTGACTGGGCAAGCAAGGCAGGCAGTGCTTGTCCAATAATATCCAAAACAGACATGAATTAAAACCAAAGTAAAAGCAATCTCATCTTAAACTGATAGTCTTCTGTAATGTTAACTTTTTTTTTATTACCTGTTTGCAAAATCCTGCGAACTGCTGCCATGTTGTGGCTACATTTGGCTAGTTGGACAGGCAATGATAATAGAACAGGTAAGTCGAACAGCTTCAGACCACAAAAGTTCTTCCATATTTGCATCTCTAAGAAATCACTTGACAAAATGTAAAGTTGCTGTTTTGCCAATAAACCACCATTACATCCTTATTAACATCCACCTGTAGATATTTACAACTAACCATGACACAGTGCTCAAGTGCTTTTTTACTAATAAGATATTTTAAAATAAAAAATTTTTGAGCTCATTAAAAGCAGCTTATTTAGTGATACACACTCCTCACAGGACTACAAACGAATAATAGAATAAGAAGCTACATTTGGTTGTTCATTTAATCAAAGTGATCGCCACAGCGGGTAGCTCTGAATGCATTAATGTAGAGTTAACAGAACATAAAGTACTTAAAAAAAGCTCAGCCTTTAACATCTGCACCATTAAAATCAATCCATTTAACACTTGTTCTAGAAAATAATTACTTTACTTTGGGTACTTCATGTACAATGTTCCAAATATACATTTTTATGTCTAATAAGGTGTGCTATTGGTACATTTTTTTAAAGGAACAATTCTAATTCAGCTAACATAAAACATTCTGTTTATAACCATAGAAGTAATATTTTTTGCCAATTATTCAGCCTAGAAAGAGTGCAGAAAGGTGAAGATGTCCAGGTAGAGTGCAGTAAGATGCACAAGGATGTTGGCTAATATAAAGAAATACAAGACAAGCAGCAGAAAATCAACATAAGGTACACTGTGGACCAAGAAAATACGCTGGGGGGTGGTGTGTTCATCAGCTCTTCCGTAAAACACTACATGCCGCTGTCATGACTAGATCTGAAAGTCTACATGTTTTGAAAGCAGAAATTGTTAGAAAACTGATACCTTGGCAGATTTCACACTAGATCCTCTAAGTTTATAGGATGTGCAGATTAAGAAAGCTCACATGATGATGTTAAATCAGTCTTTGCTGTAAAATGATGAGACAGTAAACGGTAAAGAAAATGTTCAAACAGACTACAGTATGGGAGATGATGTCATCTTACTGAAACTTGGCAATAAATGAAAAAAGGCAGAAACTGTTCTATGTTTGTAACAAAAAGAAAAATGCGTGAGATGGATATATAACCGCGGAAGCCAAATATCTGTTTCCAAGTATTCTCTGGCAGGCGCTCCTTTATTCAAGTCTAACCCCTGGCAATAATCTTCCTGACAATGATATTGTGCTCATTATTTCTTGTCAGAGCACCATCAGATCTCAAACAGGAAAGACTCCTCTTCACTTAAATGTGTCAAGATTACATTTTTAATGTAAATCCAACCTAGTTGTTTACCAGTACATTAAAGAATCTCAACATTAAGACATTCTTTTTAAGTGAGACTGAAATGAATGAAAGAAAGTATTCCAATAAATAAATCCTAATTAATAAAAGATGGTCATAATTCTGTCATCCAGCATGAACATGTGAATCATAGGATGCAATGACGTATTTAGTATACAGGGCAGGTGATAAGCATCATGCGGGAATATGATGCAAGAGATTAATTTTAAGACTGCAGCAGCGATGGTGAGAGTTCTGAGTGGAAAGGTCACATCGTCATGGGTTTGACTTTGGTTTAATCCACAGCACACAATTTTTTCATTCATCACAGCTCTTTAGTGAGCACCTCATGCTGTCTCTAACAGCATTTCACATCTGCTGGATATAACGCTAACTTATGAGTAGCTGTTACCATGATGTTCACTACATGAAAAAGTAAATATTAGTCAATCAAAAAAGTGTGATAGGAGTAACAGGGACCACACATCAGTGCAACTGCATCAGTGCAACTGAGGATTATAAAACATGGTTACATTTTTTGGGGGGTTTAACTGCACACCAGCTGTATTAGATCTGTTCTTAAAGTAAACGCTTCAGGGTAAAATCCACACGGGTCCATGCACCGTTCATGAGCACTGAGCGGAAAAATGTTTTTAATCAGACTCCTGGTGAGTGTTGGTTATCATATCATATAGTTAAACAACATAATTAGTTTTGTTTTCCTTTTACCGTTTATGAATAGTTAAATAAACTCATGAATCAGACCTGTTAATGATTGCAGACTGTGCCAGATTGTGTAAAAGCATTAGAAATCACTGAAATCAGATAAAAGCAATAAAGTATTGTTTATTTAAATATAACACTATAGCACTAAAATAACACAAAAATAAAAATAGCTCATACTTTGCTCATGACTTAATTTCATTTTTATTGCATTGGTAATAAGACAGAAAACATTTGTCTTCCTGGACTAAAATGAAATTAGAGATAAAATTTAACTGAGCAAAGTATCTTTACTTATGAATTGTGTACATAAGTAATTTAGACATAGAGGAGTGTACATATATATATGTGGGTATTTAATGAAAATCTGTAGATTAAACACTTCAAACAACTCATAACATGAGGTTATGCTAAAGACTCACCAGCCACTTTATTAGATACACTTGTTCAGCTGCTTGTTAATACAAATATATCCAGCGAGCATCATTTATCTGGGGGAAAATACCTATTTGGTAACAGCAAGAAGGAGAAGAAGAAGAAAGTGTGCAGAACAGCATGCGGCAGGTCGGCTGCAGCAGCAGAAGACCACACTGAGTGTTCCTCCTGTCAGCTAAGAGCAGGAATCTGAGGCTACGATTCTTAAAGGCTCACCAAAATTAGACAGCAGAAGATTGGAAAAATGAGTCAAGTCTTAAATTTCTGCTGCAGGGTCAGAATTTGGCATAAACAGCATAAAAGCACAGATTCATCCCGCCTTTCATACTAGCAAGAACTAGCAAAGTGTCTATGTAATGTGTTGCTGAGATGTCTACTAAAGCTAGCATGCTAACAAGCTAGTGACAGTAGCCTTGTATAATCAGGGGTGCACATAAGTGATCCGCAGGTGCGCATGCGCTGTCAAAATAAAAGACGTGCACCAGATAAGAAGTTGCAACATACGTTTGTGTACATATAAAATGCACTGTTTTGCCTGCTAAAGTGGGATTTTCACGGCATACTCTGCACCACATCTCTGTGCGTTCATCATTTGTTTGAAGCCAGCTCATCTCCTCCAACCACTTTTCCGAGAATACGCGCTTCTTTTGTGGTTCACACTCCTTCTGACATTTCTTTGGAGGTGGAGGAACACAAAAGTAATTGCTTAAAGGAGCTTGCTTCTTCGACATGCTTAAGAGTTCTAAACAAATGTCTGTCCTCCTCCAGAAAATCTTATGTACGCAAACGCGCGTTGCAACTTCTTATCTGGTGCGCGTCTTTTATTTTGACAGCGCATGTGCACCCGCGGACCATTTATGTGCACCCCTGTGTATAATATCCGTTTGCACCAATCAGGTTGAATGATAGGCAGTCATTGTATGAAACTCTGAATGCAAAGATGGATGAAGGCAGTCCTTCATCATCACTGAGTTAGTAGGCAACCACTGAAGAGAAAGTAAGATGGGAGAGCTAGAGTTTGTTTTTAGCCTAACACTTAATTTTCCTGCACACTGCGTACAACATCCTCTATCTGCCCGCTGCTTGCTGTTTCGTATCATTGACCCCTTTTAAAATAAAGTATTTTTATATTTCAGCGTTGAGTAGAGCAGAGCAAATAAAAACTTCTCTTCTGGTAGCCCTTTACACTGGGTTTTGCCAGTTTTTTTCCCTCTTAGAAAAGCTGGCTAAACAGAGACTGAGACATTACATAATATAATGCGAGATAATGTTTAGCAGAGGAGCTTTACTCAAATAACTTTATTATACCAAGGGGCCATTATTAGATGGATGCATCATTTAAAAGCAGGTTTTACTGTGACAGAGTGACACCATAATTGAAAAAAAGAATTACTAGCATTTTGGAAAAATAAGCAAAATATCAATTTTCTTTCATATTCCAGCAGCCTGTGCAAATGGAAAAAACCTATTTCAATCAACGCGACTTCTACTGAGACTGTGTGTTTACTGGCACTACAGGTGCCTGACTACATCCTGTGCAAGCACAGACGGAGGGCCTAAGCTGCTCTGCTAACACACTCTTCATACTCTTCACAGCCTGTGCAGACATTGTGTAAGTCAGGCAGCAAACAAACACATATCTTGCAATTTCCTTAAAACATAATAATATCTTACGTCTATTTTCACGGGGCAAACATTTCTCAGTGAATGATGGGACAATCTCATGTGGGCAGAAAAGTGCTGAACGTCGATGTTGACTCAGCCAGTGAGAACCAAGAGATTTAGTCTGGAGACCAGACAGACTGTCACGTGGACCTCGTTTTAGGCAGCACTGCTCTGTATGGTCACTGACCGACATAAATTAAAGCACTAAAAGTCACATTTTTTCAAGGACTCCTTCAGCGTTGACACGACTGGAACTTACAGCCCTGTGAGAGTGGACGACAGTGCAGAACCCATTTGTTTCCAACACAAATCAAAGAAACAAGGGGATACTGTGCACTAAAGGACTTCTGAGAACACATTTTACATCGCTAGCTGAGAAATAGATGAAATGAAGACATAAATCTGATAGCACAAGGGAGGCCTGCACGGGGGATGTAATTCACTGCACTCTTTGTAAAGTTATATAGCTGTTAATGTGCTCCCTGAGGACCCCCTACAGGAAGGTGCATTCCCTAACGGTTTCATTAAGCAAAGTAAATTCATAAGATGAGCTTGTTTGCTTACAGACTTGTGTGCACTTGCACATTAATGTGTATAAATATATCCTTGCTGTACCACAAATTAGTTCTAATACTCAAAGACATGTGAGTGCTTTGTTGTGACTGAAAATAGCATGTCATATGTTTAAATCTAGATTAAAAACTGACTTGCTTCAGTCATACCTGAGATCCGTGCAGAGCCGCCTCTGATGTAGAGCGGGGGAGCCTGAAAGGCATAGATGACATCATTTTCAGCTATGCTAGTCAGGTCGTCTTCATCAAAGAAGGAGCGTTGGAAACCAATGGAGTAAACCTCTGTCAGGATCACCTGGAGACCAACATGCAAACACAAGTTGGTTCCTTGATGTACATCCTTTAACGTGGTGAAGGAAATGACTTTACTATTATTTACTTCATCTGTTGTAGCCAAGAGGAAATTCAAGCCAAAGGCGGAGTAAGAAAAGTACAATCACACCAGTTACAGTTGCTTTACTGTACCTGGTCTGGAGAAATTTTCCCCTCGTCAGCCACCAACCTCCTCAGGAAGGCCACAGAGCCAAACAGCGGCACAGCCAGCCCGACCCGGAGATAGCGCTGTCCTTTGGTGCTGAACACCAGAACCACACACAAGGGCCTGCCGCAGACAAAGACACACAATCAGGAACAGCGGGCAATGGGGCGGCTTCTATTTTGATTTCTGTGCCATTTCTACTGCAGCCTCCTCTACAGCCAAGAAGGGACAAAAGAAGACTTTCATGAATAAATCAATACATTTTAACATTAATAATAGATCATTAGGACTCAGTTTTATGTGTGCGAAATAATGGAATCTCTATTGCATTTTTAAAAACGGGGAGCACTCGGCTCTGACCTCTACAGAGGCAGCTTTGACATAAGGTGCTGGGACATAATGGCTTCTCTGAATAACAGCTCACTGAGGAGGTACAAAAACTCTGTCAGGGACCTGTTTGAGTCTATGGCCTGTGGGCAAGAGCAATTATGTTTAAGAATTTAAGGCTGATGACAGATTTTTCTCTAATCACAAAAAAGATTAAAGCAAAAGAAATACAGCAAAATATTCACAATACAGATAAGGAACAGAAAAATCATCCAAAGAAATTGTAAGAAAGAAAAAAAACTGTACACACAATTAAAATGAACACAAGTTGGTAGGGTTGTTCGATATAACCATATATATCGGATGACGATATAAAAACGTCTATGTTTCATTTTATACTATCGTTTGTTTCGTGGTGTCAAAAAAGTTTACGGCAATATTTTTTAATCCTTTTGATGGTCACTGTAGTGGCTATATTAATTTCTTCTTTCTCTTATATTTTATATAACCACACTACTGACGGACAAGCGCCTGTTTTTATGCGTTGTGGTTAGCAACAACGACAGTAACACCATCGCGTGTCCGCTTGTTTATGTTCCACATAAACCTTTCACAATAAAGCTCAAGATCCTGTTGAGACTTTTCAAAATAAACTGAATCACGTGAAAGAGCAGATTATTTACGGATGAGAAGTAAAAAAGAGCCGCCAGGTGCTAAAAAATAAACCTTAGACTCAAACGTTAGAACAGGCTTTTCCCCGCAGCACGCCGTGTAATAAATACTCACAAAGAAAACGGCGGCCGTTACAACTTATGTCTAAAAATGTATAGTTTCATGCATCGGTTAAAACACTCGACTCCAGGTACATGACGCGCAGCTGGAAACACTTCTATGGGCTCAAAATGTGGTCATAAATATTTTGTACTTGTAAAAAAGATTTTGTATGTGTAAAAAGATTTGTGTGTGCGTAAAAAAGATTTGTGTGTGGACTTAGAAAAAAAACCCTGCAAGTTACAAGTACGGATTTTGACCCTATTTTTCTTCCTTTCATCTGATTGGTCAATGTCATGTCAATCACAAATGTAACAATCCAATCAGAGAACAGATGGGTTTGGCTGTCGAGGGGCGCTTTTTTTGAACTGCAGGTCCTTGAAGGGTGATACAGTTTGAAGCTGGAGGATCGCTATATAAATATCCGATAGCAGCTAGGTCCCCTAACTTTCAGTAGCTGTTGAAAGGATAAAGTTGTGGTATATCAGTGGTTAGAAATACCATTATTACTTTAGGATTAGTTTAACACAAAGTCAGGGCTGACCCAGGACCATTGCTGTGAGTCACAGTGCGCAGCATAAAAGTCCTTTCACATCGGACGCAGGATGTGCTGCTAATGCTAACTGCTAACTAAAAGCAAAGGATCCAGAATTTGTTGCGCTGGCTGCTGGGCTCTGTGGGTTTTTGCAGCAGCTCTACCTGTACTAGATGCACCTGCTCCTTGTCTTTTCTATCTCTGACTTTATGTCCTCTACAAGAGTTTTTTTTTTTGCTGGTTCTTCAAATGTTCAATAAAAACATGTATGCTAATTCATAACGAAGAAAGCTTTGTAATGAAGACTGTCATTTCCAAAACACTGCCCGCCCCCCCCGCGGTCCGCAGCGCTGTTGAAAAGGCTGTGGAAGTCCCTGTATTAAACACGTAGACCTGTGACACAAAAATCACCAAACTCGGACGACCACAGACTGTTTTCCTTCGTGGTGATGAAGGAAAACGCTGGGTTGGCATGTAAAAGGGCATTTATTCCCTTCAAAGACCTGCAGTTCAAAAAAAGCGCCCCTCCGACAGCCAAACCCATCTGTTCTCTGATTGGATTGTTACATTTGTGATTGACATGACATTGACCAATCAGATGAAGGGAAGAAAAATAGGGTCAAAAATCCGTACTTGTAACTTGCAGGGGTTTTTTTTCTAAGTCCACACACAAATCTTTTTTACAAGTACAAAATATTTATGACCACATTTTGAGCCCATATTCTCAAGTGCTGCCCGATGATTCATAATGTTTTCAGAAGTTACATTTTTGTGATTTATATCGTTATT